GTAAGTTCCTACCTTACTTAGTATTCCTACTTCGTTTAAAACGGTTAAAAAAACAAGAAAACAAAAAAAAAAAAAACCCCCAAAAACAAAAAAAACACCCAAAAACCAAAGAAAACCTTGTTGGCACACATATGCTGGTTTTCAGGAAATCCTCAAGTAAAGATGCATTCAATGTGTCTTATCACTAAAAGCTTGAAAACAAAATGGCTAAAAGTGATTTTTTTTGTTGTTGCCTTTTTTTTTTCCTTTTTGGAGAGGAGGAGGTAATTAAGTTTATTTATTTAGTTATTTTAATGGAGGTACTGGGGATTGCACCCAGGACCTTGTGCATGCTAAGCATGTACTCTATCCACTGAGCATACATTTCCCTGCAAAGTGATGTTTGTTTATTCAATTAAATGCAATTTCTTATACTTTTCTTTGTGTAGTAGCCAGTCAATGTTTCTGAACTAGAGGAAGCACTGAACATCTAAATAAATCAGAGAACTTCTTTGTCTGGGCTTGACCTTCATCACATGAACACTCAAAAAGAGATATTAATACACTGAACCAACAACAGTCTCTTATAGGAATTGGATGCTAGCCATTGCTTAACAAGTTGAGATTAGTGAACTTTTTCAAACTGCAAATAGTTGTTTAAAAAGACAAATGTTCTCACTCGTCTGTTGTCAGTAGACTTTCAACTTGATACAATTTTCTGTGGAGGAGATGTTGGCAGTAAATACTTAAAGTCATAAAAATATTCATATCCTTTGATTCACTAATTTAATTTCTGGGAATTTATCCAAAACATGTAATTAAAAAGAAGACATAAACTATGTTACAAAGATGTTCCTGACAACACTCTTTATAATAATCAAATCCAGAAAATAATCTATATGCCAAATAATAAAGGAATGTTTAAGTAGATTATAGAATGCCAACTGAATGGAATATAACACAGCTATGAAAAATGATAGCCATGCCATGTACCAAATGTAAAGGTGTTTATGAAACAATTCAAAATCATCAAAGCATTTTGTAGAAAGATACACGTCTATGAGTTAACTTCCACAGAAGAAAGAGCAAATTCTAAAGTACTTAATGAAGATGAAAAGAAAACTCACATCCCTGGGTCTGTATAATAGATTTTAACAAAATGCAAAGAAATGGAATAACTCTAAGATGAATGGGAAGATTCAAACTTGTTGACATATTTCTAGATTTTCACGTTGTGTTCTGGGAAGAGGTACAACACACATTAATATTGATGACTGGCCCAGCAGCAGTCTGCACCCAGAGAGCGGGAAGCTATCTTTGGGCTGCTCTGAATATAATCACGTGTGTGCCAAAGATCACAGAATGATTCCCAAGTGTTGCTAAAGAGCAGTAAACTGCCAGCGTCTTGCACGCAGAAGCCCTTGGGAGCAGGAAAGTTATTTTGGAATACATTTTTTTAAAAAAATCAAAAAGTCCAGATTTGGCTGCCCTTCAAAACCTTGAGTGACAGATGGCCAAAACTCCTTTCTTTAAAAGAGGGGAAATGATGAGTCCCAGTCCTTTGTGTCTGCTTTTAGGGCAGACAGTTGGTACTTCTAGTTAAACATAATTACCCCCTTGATTCCAGGTGTTTAATTTAGCTGTTTAATGTTGCTGTACTGAATGGCTGGGGTCAGTAGGACCTGAAGCCATGTCCAGTGCCTTTGGCTACTTATTGGCTCAAGGCCTCAGTGCTGGGACCAGGGCAAGAACATTAAGGCAATGGACCAGGTTGTTTCCAGTTTTCCCAGGAGAAGTAGTTAAATGATGGTACTTGAATGACATATCCTACTAGGTTGCATGCTGCGGAAAAGGGAGAATTTAAGGGGGCATGGAATATTAGAGGGCTAATAATTAAGTAGAGAAAGTCAATATAATGAACTTGAAAACATGGCTTGCCTGGATCAGCCACACGAAGTTACAGGCTCACACTCATACACACACTCACGTACACACATGTATGTACCTGTATACCAAGGTTGATTGTTCTTCCAAAGCCATCCAAACTTTAGGTTTGAGAGTAACATTTTCATATAGGAATATTTCAGATCAGCCCTTGGAGAAACGATATGTGATTTATCTTAAGCTTGAGAGGCCCAGGTGCAGTTGGAAGTTGGAGGCAAAAAACCCCATGAACGTACTGAAAGAAACAGGAAGTTTTCGAAAAGAGTAACACTCAAATGAGACAACATCATGATTAAAAGCTGTACAGGGAAACTGGGGGTGTGATAAACACTTACACATTTAACATCAGGCATCCAAATATTTAATAACCTCTATAGTTTAAGTGCCAGAAATAAACAGCCAGCCTGGTTGTACCAAGTTTGTTTTCAGCCAGCAACAGTGTGTGGGGTTTGCGTGTTTTGAAGGGAGAGCTAAAATGCAGGGCAGGAGTGATGATGGTGAAGTTGGAGCTCCAAAATCAAGCATGCTTTCTTTCATGAACTGAATTAGTGTTACATAATCTGTGGGAAAATCTTCAGTGTAGAAAGCCTAGCTAGGTGCACTGTTATCAGAAGCTCTGGCCTGATACAATTGGAGATTAGTGCACAGAACATGGATCTTGACATTAGTTACAGCATTGCAGCAAAGTGTGTTACAGCTCAGTGTTTCAGCTCAGTTGTGACAACAACCTGGATCCGGGCGAGAGACCAGGCAGCACTAGTAGAGTCGGAGAACTCAGGTTTATTATGCTGGCGGGCCCAGAGGAGTTAACACTCCAAGCTGTGGACCCCGTCTCTAGGTTTACGCAGTGTTTTATAGGCTACCAGTCTAGACAGACTTTGCAACATTTTGCAACA